GTCCACCCTCCAAAGCATCCATTTTCTCCAGGAGAACTGATCCCCTGGGGATTCCGGGAGATCCCCAGGCCCCACCTGGAGACTGGCATGCCTATAGGAATCTTAGGTTGCGGTCACACAGGCCAGTTGAAGCGCAGAGGGGAAGTGAGGCCATTTCCTCCGGGGGAATTTGACTCACAGTTGCGAGATCGCACATCCCTTTGTGTTGCAGGCTCAGCCTGTCACTGTGCAATCAGATGCCACTGCGGTTGAGTCTCTCTCTCTCTCTCTCTTTTGCTGTTTGTTTCCCATGTGCATAAACAAGGAATCACAGCTCTGCACTGAGGGTTACCCATGGAGTATGAGATTATGCGAAGACTGTTCAGCTAGGGGAAAAAACGACACAGAGTCGGGATGGCATGAGTGTGGGCATGAGTCGGGATGGCATGAGGGGAAAGTCCGTTCATGGGCTGCTGTATTCGGTTAACACCGGACTTTCCACCGTGTCTTTTTACTCCGCTTCCGTGACAGGGCAGCACGGGTTGCCAACGGCTGCGGGACGTTTCCCAGATGTTGCTGTCTGATCGTGCCCTTTAGATCCATCAGGTATTCGCAGCTGAGTCGGATCTAAAGGCGCGTATGATCGCAGCCTTAGAATTCTTACGTTTGGTTCAAATACTGCTTTAAACTGAATGTCAACTTAAAACTTGCAGTCTTGTATCATTTATATCATTACACGATCCTCATTGAGTCAAGACTTAGTGATCTCGCTAAAACACGGGGAATATGGTGGTGAAAGAATATAACGGCAGAACCGAATTGCTCCCTCCACACACACCTTTCTGCTCCCTTTAAAATACCCAGCGGCCATTTTTTAAACTAGAAAATCCTTCCCAACTCCTTTCCCTGATTCACTAAGTCACTTAGACATGCAATCTTTACTTTAGAACCTCTGTCCCTCTCTGGGGTATACAGAAGATCTAGTACTGTTTTTGGTCGTGATCCGTGAACAACATGCTCTTCTGATCCATTGGGTTTCCCAAGCTTTTTGAGGCTGCAGGCATTTTTGAAGTTCTTCCACGGGGTGGTGGGCTCAAACCTGTTAAGTTGGTTACTTAACAAAGAGTCAGAGAGTGATTTCAGCAAAAGATCAGCTTTATTCTGCAACTCGTAACTCAACTCCAACACGGATCAACATGAATAGCCAGAACAGCTTTAGCATTGAAGCTGTTCCACTTTTAAACTCTCCCGGCTAATTTAGCCACGCCCTATTGTACAATATCAACCTATGAGGTTGTAGAGTTAAGGTCCAATCACATTAGTTCCCGCTTCTGGAACTGGCTGTTTGTGATTGGTCGGCTCTTCCTGGGCTACCAATTACATTTGAGGGATTTGGATCCTAGCCCAGGAATGAAGCTTCACGTGGTGATTCAATGACAGTGTTTCTCATACATACATGGGTCAGATTGAATACACCACAAAACCCAAGATGGCTGCTGTGGTATATTGGTACGGTTGCTTTAGTGACAGCTCAGGTCTCGTGACCACAACTGGAGGAGGAGTTACCGAGGCCGAGTTGTGACCCCTTCTATCTGTTGGCTGCGGAGTTCCAATAAATGCCATTTTCCTGACCACTTTTGCCTCCAGCACGGATTCTTTCCTTCCCTAAAGGCATAAAATCTGCCACCTGAGGCAGAAACAACTATAAAATGTCAAGGAGTTATGATTACATATAACTCTAAATCAAGGGTGTCAAACATGCGGCCCGGGGGCCGAATCAGGCCCCCAGAGGGCTTCCATCAGGCCCGCAGTGGGACTGGCCATCTCCTGCTTCCGGTTCTGCTGCTGCATCATAGCTCGCTTCGCCAGACTCTCTTAATCACTCAGCCATTTCATGTTTTAACCTGGGTCCACCTAGACTCAGAACTCTGAGCATGAGATTTCTGTGGTGAATGTCAATCAATCAAAAGTAGGTTTGCGGCTTACAGAGCTAATGTTCTAAGCATGTTTTTATTTTAAGTTTTTTAAAAAAACCTTTGTGTTTGTGTCCTTTATAAAGTTTATATCTCCGCCTCCTGGCATTACATTTTATGACACACATGGCCCTCGAAGGCATCTTATGTGCCCTGGTTATGCTTTTAGTCTTATACCTATCCATACACATAGAATACGATATGGGTATTAGCTTGATCTAGGGGTCATTTCATAGAAAAAGAGGTGCAGGAGCTCATTAACATAACTCATTAGCATAACTTATTTGCATATGCCACACCCTCTGACATCACCGGAAGTGTGTCAGAAGGCAACACCCACCGCTCAGGCTCCACTGGACTGTTTTGGATTGCTAGCTATTGGGGGGGGGGAATGTGCAGATCTATCCTCGCAGAGGAAGGAGAGCTTGTACCTGAATAAAACTTGGTCCTAAAGGTGCCACTGGACTGTTTTGGACCGGGGGGCCTGGGGGAGCTCTGCAACTTACCTGGCTGCTTCTTGCTGTGACTGAGGGCTGCTGGGAGCAGGGGGTGGAGCTTGTTGCATGTGCCCGCCCCCTGGGCTCTTTACTGCCAGAGCTCCGCTCCTGTGCGCTCCTGCAGGAAATGACCCCTGGCTTGATCACCAAGTTATCTTACACTGAGGTTGGTACTATTAAGCACTCAAAGGCTGTATAGATGGTGACAACATAGATTCTGGGAAACTTACAATGGGCGCTGTCTTGTTTGTGTGTTTATTATTTTATGTTTGGTTTTCTAAACTCTGTTTTGGCAGGTTTTAGACGTTTGTATAACACTGCTGTTGACTTATTGTGTTTCTCTTAATTAAAGTATATATAAAAATGCATCCTCACTATTTTGAATGCTAATTTAACAAACCACTCCTATATACACAACTACGATCTGTAATTACATTTCATCGTCTGACGAAGTGTGCATGCTCACGCCTTGAATAAAACTTTGTTGGTCTTAAACTCTTTGTTCTACGGTACAGTAAGATCAGTGGAAATACACTGTACTTGGATGGAGATCCCAAACCGTTTCACACTCCAAAGCCTATGAGATTTCTTGCTTTGTTTGTTTAATTAAAAAAGAAAAGTAACAGAAAGCTTTCCTGCAATAGTCCTTCATTCGGAGAAAATGATCAATACCTTCTTTGTAAATCAACTCAATCAGGCTTATTCAGTCCCCTCTAGTCAATGCTGGGCAACTGGCGACCTCTGTTGGTGAATTTATGGGACTTGAGGGGAAGACAAAAGCAATCTCTGCAAACCTTTCCTGCCTTCCGGCAAAAGAGGGAGCAGTTAAATGGTCCATCTCCATTTTTAAGGGTATTTGTTTTCTAAAAAATCACCCACCCCAAACAGCCAATCTCTTTCTTCCCTCCCCTCCTTTAACAGAATGGAACGGGACCATTTTGAAATGGGAGTTAAGTCAGTTGAGGTCTAACCCGCTTTCCTGCCAGATAAAGGATCCCCTCTGAGCACCAGAAAGCAGACTCATGGGACCTGCCTGTACAAAAGCAATGTGGAACAGGGGCTTGCAAGGGGGTCAGATCCAGTGAAAAAGCTTGGATCCAACTCCTAGAAGTGTCACTATATAGGGCAGAACTCACAAGATTGACTTCCTTAAGTGGTCCTATAATTAGCTAGCTTTCGAGAGCAGACATTTGCACACAGGCTACAGGTAGTAGCACTACTTGGGGGGGGGGGAGAGTTTAAAATCTGTGGCTTTACCAGCTGCTGAGACAGGAATAACTGAAAGGTGTTAATCCCGGAGTATGCCTGAAAACCAGCCCTGCTTTTGATCTGCTGCCTTTTTGGTGTGGAGAAAGAGACAGGCCAAGAACTGGGGAGCATGTGCACCACTGATTTGGCAGGGCACATTAAAGGAAGGATCTGAACAAAAGAAAAGGTTTCCCCACCTTTTATTCATGAGCGTCTTATTAGCTTTGTGCTTACTTGAAGCCAACACATTGGAGCCAATCTAGCAGCACAAGGGCAGGAACAGAAGATGTCATTGATCAAAACGACAGGGAACACGAGGGGGGCAACACCCAGCCCGGTAACATGAAACAGATAAAAAGGAGTATATATTCCTGCCTGCAGACTCTATTTAAGCACTGGGAGTTTCTAGAGGATTCCAACGAAGTCCTTAGGAGGCAGAAGCCTTGGATTTGTCTGCACCCAATGAATGCCAGAGTTGCCACTGAACACGGGGTCGCCAACTGTGGGTTCAGAAGTCCCTGGAGACTTGAGGGTGGGGGTCCAAGGAGGGGAGGGGCCTGGGTAGGGTATGGTGCCCTGCAGTCCCGCCTTCCAAAGCAGCCCTTTTCTGCAGGAGAGCTGGAACAAGTGTTTTAAATAAATGCACAATCAATCAGGAAGCAGCGTATGTAGTCTGGAGACGAGCAGGAAATTCCGGGAGATCTCCAGCCCCCGCCTGGAGGTTGGCAACCTCGCCTAAAGAGAGGCTGAGGACACACACACATTTCAGTTTTCTCAAGGAGCTGCAGCCTTGTCATGTGAGACGAAATCTGTGTCCAAGATAATGTCCTGGCAACCGGCCTTGGGTCGAAGAGGCACGCCTCTCCGGTCTATCTGTTCTCGCGGCCAGCTCCGGCGCGGCCAGGACTTGCAGGCGTGAATTCAAAGCGGCAATTCCCCCTTGGTTTTGCTGGAGTCTTCTTTTTTTTTTTTTCCAGCGGGGTGGGGTG